AAAACCTTAAAAATCTTTTAAAATAACTTGTAAAACCTTTAAAAACACCTTATAGAACCTTATAAATACTTGGATCGAGTCTTCAAGTAGTAGTTACAATCCATAAGTACCTTATAAACCTAATAAAACTTTATAAAAATTTCAGATTTTAAAAGGGTCATTTTTGAAAATGGACATCTAAAAGAGGCATTTTTGAAAAGGGGCATTTTTGAAAAGGGGCACACCAAAAAGGGTATTTTTAACAATTTCCCTTATGTTATTGGAATTTTTTTTTTTTTTTAAATTTACATTATTTTTGTTATTATATTTATTTGTTATGAGCTCATATAACTCGCGACCAAGATGATCTGAGTCCGAGTTTATATATTGAAGCTCATCTAATAAATGAGCTGAGCTGAGCTAGCTCATGAAATGTCCGAGCTCATCATGAGCTGAGCCGAGTTGAGCGAGCTAGCTCATTTTGACACCCCTAATTGCTTATGTCTCCAATTCTCTATGGCATATCAAATCTATCTATCTATCTATGTTGTTAGCTTATCTTCTTTGATCATTATTGTATTCTTATTCATGCTTGAAGATCTTGTAAACTTTGCCCTTATGGGATTGATTTAATGAAATACAAGTCTTGTTTGACAAAAAAAAAAGGTTACTTAATATTTTGTGCTTCCCAATGAATAGTATAGATTAAATAATAATTTTTTTTAATATATGTGAAAATTTTATGAACAAATGGAGTAGTATACTGTAAATAGTTGTTGTTAATCCTAATTCTTGTTGTAATTCAATTAGAAAAATATGATATGGGTTCATTGTGTAGTATATTTAATAATAAATATCTAAAAGTATTGTCTTCAGAGAATACGTACATAAATACATAACCATAAACATATAAATGATGAAGCAACTTCTATAAGAAAACAAAGAAAGTGTCAACAACAAAAACACTAATTAAGCAACTATTTAAAATCCATATATAACAAAAAAAAAAAGGTTCGAACAAAATAAAACCTATAAAGACGACTGAAAGCTTATTCCCTGAATCCTAGACATTAATTTAACTTCATGCGCAAACTGTGTGTGTTTGCCTCGATCGTCCAACATTCAAGCTCGTGGATTAGATTCATGGGTTGAAACTCAGAGGCAACATTTTCTCATCTTTCTGACTACACGTATGTAGCGACTAACCATAGCCATTTGTTTTGTATTTGTTTGCAGGATATTAGAATGGAGACTGAGATGATTTCCGTGAGAAAGGTACTAATGTCGTAAACCTAACATGCTAATTTATAGTCGTAGATCGTTTTTGATAAAATGGAGATTCACAAATATATTAGTTAGTTTAAATTAGTTAGATAATATTTTGGAAAAGGTATATTCTAGATTACTTAGAATATAGAATCACAACTTATATAGCAGAGAGATTTGCCAATTTTTATAAATCTTTTTAAGGAAACTAAATATAACCAAATAATGACAAACTGATAAGGCCTCCTAAATATTAGGTAATCTCTTTAATATATTTAAACCCGTATGACCCATTGATCCGTTTTATAATGAATTGGTTAATGTGAGTGACGTAGAATAAATATGGTTATGATTAGAGATTTGTAATGACATATATTATAATTTCTTACAAAACTCAATATTACAACTTATAGATGTACTTCCCAAATAATAGTATAGGGTATAAGTCTATAAGAGACTGTGAGATTATGGAAAGCTCCTTGAGCTGTTATGTTATTAGGGATCTCATATATATAGAGTACAAATGTGTAGGGTTTACAAAAGGTATGTACCACTATATACATTCTAACAGAGACTATTTGCTTAGATAACTTAATTACATGGGTTTGTGTTGGGCTCAGGCCCGGCCCTGAACAGATTTTAACAAAACATTTGTATTGGGCCTCAAATTTCCGAGGCCCATTTTGTGAGTTTATTTATTTATTTATTTATTTTTTTTAAAGGCCCCACAATTAGTAAAATAGGCTTCAAAATTAGTAAAATATATCTCAAAATTAACAAAAAAAATCCCATAATTAGTAAGAAGGCCTCATAATTAGTAAAAATCTTATAATTAACAAACAATGTCCAAAAATTAAGAAAAAAATGTTAAATAAAAATTATAAATGGCCCATAATTAGCAAAAAAAAAAATTTTAAACAGTTTTTACTTATTAAAAAGGCCTCAAAATTTTTTTTCGTATTCGGCCTTCTATTTTACCGGACCGGCCCTGGTTGGGCTTTGCCAATGTCATAAACTCATATTCTTGGTTTTGTTATGAGTGCTCTAATATGGTGAAGGGTCTCGAAAAACTTCCCTTAAGAGTTTCAGGTTCGCATTGTTAGATGCGGTAGATAGTTGATAGTGATACTGCTCTTGGTGAAAGATGGTTTTATTAAGAAAAGATATATATGGTGTGTGGAGATTACACTGGAAAGATATGAGGGAGGAGGGATTTTGGGAAAGGTTGAGTGTTGCGACATTTTTGCTTGATGGGTCTTTTAACCCTACTCGAAACCCCACTAATGATAAAATTGCAATGTGTGACTAAATTGTGACAGAAATTTCTTGGTATCAACAAATGAGTAAATATAAAACCAATGGGTGACTATGTATATCTTTAGAAGCATTGATAAAGCACCATTGAAATATTCAAGAAGATTCAGATGGAGGTTTTTTAACATTGTCAAAAGGAGTTCCAATCGAACAAAGTGTACATTTTGGAAGCTCTTAAAAGGAAGAAATGGCTTAGAGAGTAGGAGCTCTCTCGGCAGTTCCAGCGATGACAGTAAGCAAGTTGTTTCCAAAAGGATCACTGAGATGCTTTGCAAGGTTCTCAACTGGACCTTCTCCGGTAACATAAGCTTGGATGAAGAAACCGAGCATTGCAAACATGGCTAATCTCCCGTTCTTGATCTCTTTGACCTTGAGAAGAGCTCCTTGCTCAGGGTCCTTAGCGAGTCCTAGAGGATCAAATGGACCTCCTGGATGTAGCTTGTCCTCGAAATCCTACCAAATATTTGCATTACAAGTTGAGTCATTTTCCCATGAAGAATTTGAACCAGTACTAGCTAAGTGTAGAGTCTAGAGAGTAATGTACCAATCCGTTGGTGATTCTGTAGTACTCGGCTCCACCGAGGAGAACAACCTCAGCAACTACGGCAAGAACAAGGTTGATTGGGATGTTCTTGCCAAAGTAGTTCAATGTGTTTCCATCAAGAAGCAAAGCACCAGTCTGCATCAGTATTCAATAAGATCTATCCCATCACTTCACACATTCTTCATTTGCTATAGAATCTAAACGTTCATAAAGATTAGAAGTAGGCAAGAACCTTAAACCAGACAGCTTCGGGGCCACAGTTAGCGCCGTATTTGTTTAAAGCTTCAGGGATGATGAAACCAGCTGCTCCTAACATAGCCCATCTCGCATGGATCAATTCAAAGGCTTGGTATCTACAACCACATTCATTAAAGAACCAATTAACAACGAATTCGATAGATAGAGCTCGAAGCAAACAATAAAAGGTTTACGATAAACAGAATCTACTTACTTAGCAAAGTTCTCAGGCTTCTTTCCAAGACCAAATGGGTCATAACCATAACTGCAATTTTATTCCAATAAACCTTAAACACCAAATCCAAAGTAAAAGCATAGATACAAAGAGAGACATGAAGAAGTGTCTTACTCTCCAGCAACTTCACCGTTTAAGTACTCTGGGATCTCTGATCTGTCCAAAAGACCATCAGGCAAGAAAATTCTCCTGTCAGGACCTGCATAAGAGCCACAATTACAAACACATTCATAGAGAACAGAGCAAAAAAGATTGTGAATGAGAAGTAGAAGACACATACCATACCACTTGGCGAGCTCGTCGCTAGTCTCAGAGACGGCCTTAGACTTAGCAGGAGCTGGCTTTTTCTTGGAGAACAGAGCAACTGTCTTGAACGTGGCCGGGCTTGATGCCAACGGAGCAGACGATCTTGAAACTGCCCTGAAGTTAAGAGGAGTACCAAGCATTTCCGACACACCCAAAGACGCCATTCTTTTAGCCCAAAGTGTCAACTTTCAAGCTTTACTCTGGTTTAATTCTAGGAAGAGCTAAGTGAAAGGAGGAGGAAGAGACGAAACTGCTACTATAAGGTGGAGAGTAGGATTCGTTTACGATTTTGATTGGTCTGAATTGAAAATGTGAAATATGATTCTGTTCTCTGATTGGCTGTTGATGCTGATGTGGCTTTTAGATTGGTTTTTGTTGGATAATTTATTTTATCCATATCCTCTGTTTCTCCTTTTGTGTGGCTAAGCTTTCACCTATATTGCAAAATGTGTTACAAGAATCTCAAACACATGAAATCTCAACTGTTAAATGTCATCCACAAGCCTCTTACAGTCTTAGTTGGGATTTTCAGTAAATTCCTTAAGACATTTGGAATCACTGTGGTCCTGTTTACTACCGTAATGTTGACGGCAACCGGAATTTGCAGATCGACGCACAATCCAACGGTTAGATTTTCACATGGGATCAACAGTTATGAACATACTCATTACACCAAAAAAGAACCGAATCATCCGACTTGTCCTAGAAGTGAACATACTCTTTCTGCAAGGAGTTATCCCACAAGTCTATAACATGTAAATCATGTGGATCAAAACTGAAGCGATTGAGCCGCACGATCATGTACATGAAAGATACGAGAACTTGATCAACTGGTTCAAGTGAAGTATTCACACATGGTACTACAGTAGAGAATCGAAAGAGCTATAATGAATCTATGCCCTTGGCCCTAGAGCTGAGATCACTGAACCACTATACGCACATTCTAACTCTTTATATTGAGTTAGGCAAAATCTCAAACTCACCCTTCATAGCACCAAAAATCAGCACTACAACGATAAATCTGCAATGTAAATGATTTGAATCCATCTTTATGCCATATGTAAACAACAATTCATAGCACCAAAAATCAGCACTAGGATGATAAATCTGCCATGAAAATTATGCGAATCCATCTTTATACCATACGTAAAATTGTACAAAATTAAAAGAGATTTCACTAGCCCCAGGTCTACATTCTTGATCTAACAACAAACCAAACACTACCATTTACTTGGAAGCTGCAACAAAAGCTATAAAAATGCTAAAGTTCATCATTTTATCCACTTGTCGATTTCATTCGTCGTAGCTTTCACAAGCTTCTTGGTGCTAACAACAAGTTCATCAATTAGTGAATCAACTTCATTCCTGTCAACAAATCACCAAGTCAAAATCATCTTCTTCAATCTCAAATCACTAGAATCTAATTGCAGAAAAATACTCACAGAGATGGTTTTCCAACGTTATAATAAGAACGAGAGTCATCATAAGCAGCTCCTCTTCCAACGCCATAGCCAAAACCTACACCAATTCCACAACCAGCTCCAAATCCGAGACCAAATTGTAATCCAGGAACTCCTGGTCCGAATCCTACACCTGTTTCATCAATCAATCACAATAAACTATCTAAGAATAGCTTCGAGCGATTCGCGAGTCTCTCGGCGATCAAAATTGGGAGGATTTATAGAAAGTACCTCCGATAAGACCGGCGCCGAAACCGAATCCGCAACCGAAACCGAGTCCAAAGGCCGGACCAACTTTTCCGATGTCGTTGATCCTAACTTGGGGAAGTTTCCAGAGCAATCCTTTGTCATCGTCTCCGGTTCTTCTTCTGTTGCTCATCGTCCCTCTCGCTCTCTCTTTCGCCGTGGATTTCGTCAATACATACTTGAAATGGGCCTATATTAATAAGGCCTACTGTTATTGCTCTAGGCCCAACGCCAGCCCAATATATTAATATGTACTTATTTCATTTTGTATCTAACTTTTATAACAATTCTATATTCTATATCTATATATACATTTTTGAATACAATTATGAAATAAATCCTGGCTTTCACTACTATTTACAATGGAATGCCACTGGATTTAATTCTTAAGATTTGGAAAATTAAATAAAAGATATGAAAAAAAGATTTTGGCTCCAAAGATCTTGCTTAAATATGATGTTTCCTTTTTTTGTTAACAATTTTAAAGCAAGTTTTGTTATATTTCTGTTTGTTTTCTTAATTAGTTAATTTACACTAATTGTATTTGATTAATTTTTTTTTTGGTCGTAACTATGATTCATAATCAACACTAAACTTAGATTTTTAGTTGGTTTTGATTATAACTATAGTAAGCAACATCTATATATTATTACTTTATTATAATAAAAACATTACAACTATATGTTTTTTAAAGCAAACTTATAAATTGACTCGAATTGTATATGTTTTTAAATAAAAATATTATTAAAAAGAAATATAACAAAATGATGTTTAATTTCATGGGACGGGTTATATGGTGGGACGGGTTTTGGGTCGATATTAATACGGGACGGTATACTACGGGTGAAATCCTAGGATTAACAATCAAATACAGTTATCTAATCTTAAACACTAAATAAAATAAATAATATTAACAAAAAAATACAACTTAAAATTTAAAAATTATTGTTATAAAAAATCGACCCGAAGTATCGCGGGGTAATATATATAATATATACATATGTAAGTATATTTAACCAAACAAAACAATAGGTTATATCTATAGATAATTTTCAAACTTTTGTTTAAAGTATAGTCCCGCGGTGTACCGCGGGTTAAAATCTAGTTCTATATATACATTTTTGGATGACTTTTAGCAAATAAATCCTGGGGTTGGGAAGTATTTACAAAGAATGCCATTGGTTGGGTGGGTTTTTTGCTCCCAATTGACCCGAAATTGTGGCAATCGGATCTTTGCCAAAAACAAAAATTTTAAACGACATTAATTATTCAGTTACCAAAATCTCGCATTAAACCTATATGGGGTCACTTTGTTACCGCATATCTTCCTCAAATCTTCCTCGAATCTTCACTTAAGCCTTTTGTTTCCCTTATGGATAGATCAATCTTTTATGGTAAGATTTTTCGTGATAAGGAGAGTAACAATGACGATTGATAATTGGCATATTCCTTACCTAAATTCTAATTCCTTTACATTATTCCATAATTGTGATATTTTCTTAAAGATTGTATACTTGCTCAACAAGATTTTCTCTACTCACTCACACATATCCCTATTATCTTCTTAAACCACTATAAATACCTCTCATTCACAGCAACTAAAATCACCAAATCCAAAAAAGAAGCTACTGTGTTTCAGATTCAACAGAGAAATCTGTTTCAATACCAATCTCTTATTCACAGACAATTTACGAGTTTGATGTTCAAATATAGATAAAAATCCTACATGAAGAACAAGATTAGCTTGGGAAGTCCTTACCTCTCCGAAAAAAGAAGGACGCTTGGTAGTGAAGAACCCAGTGGATTGGAATCAGACATGTTTCCTCAAGGTCTCTAAAGATGTTGCTGTTCAAACTGTAAACAAAAGACAAGAACTTTTGGGTATCAAGCTATCTCAGAGTCAAACCTGGACATTCAAGAAATTAATAAAGCTGTTGGAGACTGCATCGAGAATTTCCTCATGGAAGGGTGACGATCAAATTTCCATCTGGCACTGCACTATTTGAATAGCACCCAAAGGGCTAAGCTTGCTAACAATCTCACCAATGCATTTGATATCTACAAACACCAAAATTCAACACTTCAATTCCAACCCAATTTCAAGATTCATACTTTTTAACTGTATCAAACAATGTCTAAAGCTTTAGCCTTTATCCAATTAAGAGTAATGGGTCCTCACAGTGCACAAGCGACGAAGACGATGAATAACGTAGTGTAATTCCTAGCGAATCGTTTGATTTACTCATGAACTCTAATTCTCGCTTGCTGAGAAGACGTTGGAAACGAATAAGAGTCACAATTGCCAAAGAAACCGGTGGTCCACGGTGGCGTATCTCCGGAAAAATCATCGGAGAGCTTGGAGAAAGGGTTAATTGTAAGAAGAGAAGAGACAGTGACGCGTCGAGACAAAAGAGAAGCGAAAAAACCACCGGTAATGGATGTTCATCGTCAGACGCCGCAGAAGTTGCGGCAGCTGAGGATGAAACGGAGGCAGAGGAGGAAGCGGCAGCGGCTGCAGCAGAGGTGCGGTGATCGAGGAGCTCGAGGTAGCTGGAATCTCGGAGCCAAGATTCGAAAGCAGGATCGAGGACGCTTAGAGAGAGAGGATTAGGAGAGAAAGCCATTGTTGTTGTTGTCGCCGCGATTATCCGTGCCAAACCAGTGACGATCTCCATCGTTTAGTCTCCTCGGCCAAATGGGCTTTGTTACTAATATGGGCTTCTTACATTGGTTGGATTTTATTCGTATGGGATCTCTAAATATTTGGGCCCATAAAATTTTTTGCAACGCTTAGCAAAGTTTCGAGATCTCTAAATTATGAGATGTTGTGATCTGTGGAACCCGTTATAAAATACAATAAATATGCAATTTTTGGTGTTGGATATTCATAGTAAATTAAGATATGTTTTTAGTAATATAAATAATTTAAAATCTAATAGATATAAAATAAAACTTAACTAACAATATACACATATTTAGACATAATAACGAATAACATTCTTATACATTCAACAAACTATAATACTTTTTATTAAAAATATTCCAAATATATTTAACTGCGACAATCTTAATAAATTTTAAAGCAACTCAATCTATATCCTATAATATTTACAAAAGCATAAATATTAAAATAATATATTTCATAAATATAGATATGACTTATCATCATTGTCTAAACATTTTTGCTGATGTGGAACATTGTGTACACACATTTTTTTATTAATTAGGTAATATATATCCGTTTTTTAAATTTTGAATCACAATATATGCATAAATTTTTTAAAGATTTTTCTTAACTTTATGTATTGTATGATGATGCAAAACAGTTAAAAACAAATCAAACAAAAATGAAAAGAGAATCATAATTTTAAATCTTAATCAAATCTTTAAATATCTATATTATTAAATATTGAATATCCAGTTCAATTTTGGATATGTTTTGATCCGATCCAAGTTAAATACGGAATATTAGAATCGTGTACCAAATTTATCAGATCACAATTTAACCCTGCCGCTAACACATGTACTTTAAAAATACTATAAAGATTAATTAATTACCTTCATTTTATAGATATAAATTGATATAAAGATTAGTACATTAACTACCTAATTAAATAAATAAATATATAATATGCTCATGACCACAATTTTTTTTATACGTACATAGCGAGACAAATATAAAAAAAAATATTTGTAGAAGGAAAAGAAAAAATTATTTATTTTTATTTTTTCTTAAAAAATAATAATGTGGCAACCACGTCCTCAAAGTCATCAAGAACATGGCATTCACGTCAATAGCCGTGACAAGGGATATATGATTGGGAAAGTTACTAGATTGACCCAAATAATGACTTTAATTACTAGAATGTCTCATAAAATATGGGGTTAGATGGGTTATTTTTATGATGATAATACTCTTGCTCTCTTTGTTAGAAAAAGAGAGAGTCAAATTTACCCTTAAAATTTTTCGAAAAACGTGGGAAACAAACTTACGAAATTTTTTTGGTTTTTTAAAAGTCTGTTGGATTCGTTATGACAGGTTTATTATAAATGGCAGACTTGTTTATCAACGACAAATTTTTTGTGACAGATTTTTTATCTCTCACAGACTTAATTTAACAGGTTGTGACAGATATTTATTTTGTTGTAGTTTTTTACCCTACTACAGACTTATTTTTTGATGACACCACAGACTTTCATCACTTTGACAGATTTATTAAAATCAAGTGACATATTTGTTTTTGGAAGAATAATTACTAGAATGACTTAGTAGTGATAACAGATTATTTTAATGTTATGACAGTTTTTATTTTTTAAACAAAAAAACTGTCGAGTGATAGCAGATTTGTCATACAAAAAAAAAAAATTGCTAGATTGACATACAATCGAAAATGAAATATTTCTGTGATGACAGATTTTATTTACATTACGACAGATTTAGGATTAGTTCAAAAAAAACTGTCACATTACTATAGATTTAGTGATGAAAAAAGAATAAGATTGACAGACTTTTTTAAACACGACAGACTTTTTTGTTTTGAATTTCCATAACTGAAAACTAATAAATGACGAGATAATCTAACTTACCTTATTTTCCTAGGGTTTTGGGCTATCCTAACCGTTTCATCTCTATCTCTTCCACGACAGCTAACACACGTTTTTTGAACTTCACCAACGATGTCTCAAAACAAAGGGTTAGAGATGGATCAGGTGATTCTCGTATGTGGCAAATAGATTTTCGAGAATAACAGATGGTCGTTCATCATTGATACAAATAGAGGATGTCGAGTTCTGGAAGCAAATAGGGAAACCAGTTACTCTCAATGCATTCGAATGGTAATTGAGGATTACAGAATCGAGAATAGAGGCTGTGATGTTGTGTTGAGTTACAAGATTTCGAAGATATTGTCTCAGAATTTACCGGATGATACACCACCCGTTATTATTACTAATTCAAGACAGTTTCACTCTTTTTTGGGGCAATTGAAGAGCGATACAATTCGACTTTGTGTTGAAGTGAAGAAGAAAGTTACAATTGAAGCTAATCAACCCAACACCGATGGCATCGTTGACAGTACCTTGCAGAGAAAACGAACAAGAATCGCAAACGAGTTGGTTAAGGAAGTTACGGATTTGATTCATGAAGCTGTTGGTAGATAAAAAGTGTACGTGTTGTAGGTTTGATGTGGAGAAATTACCATGTGCACACGCAATTGCGGCAGCTGAGAACAGGAAAGTCTCTCGAATTTCAATGTGCCATCCGTATTATCACAAGAACTATCTTTACAATTCCTATGCTAACGCCATCATGCCAAGGGAGTTTGCTATACCTGTTCATGAACATGTAGCAACCACGGTTTGTTTACCACCCATACCTCGGCAACAACCTGAAGGCCAAAGAATTCGAGAATTTAGTCAGCATTGGAGATTGCTATGGAAAAGAAAAAGCCAAGAAAATTATACACTTGTGGCAATTGCAATCAAGTTGGTCATAATCGTAAGTCTTGTAATCTTCAAGTTTAAGTTCTTTTTTCGTCATTGACTAGTTATTTGTGGTGCAATTCTACAGTTGAATCTTTTTCATCTACTACTTTGGAGAATCAAATGTTGCAGGAAGATTATTGGTTCTATTTTTTTCGGCACTAGTTGAATAATATTGTATATAAAGGCATATGCAAAACACTAGCATGCCAGAGATATACGATTAAAACTTTAATAAGAACCAGAACAAGGTTCAAAGCAATATTAACTTGCACGACAGGTGACCTACCACGGCGGCATTGCTGATAAAGGATCATCTTCCTTTACTGTTCAACAACAAATCAAGAGCCTCCGATATCACGGGTTCTTTGCACATTGTTGTAGGTATCATAACCGACCATACATTTGCACAAAATGTCTGAAAATCAATACAAAAGCACAAAAAGTCTGAAAATAAGCATGAAAAAGTCTGAAACAAGGTGACACAATGTTTTAAATTCTGGAAATAAAAAACAAAAGACCTATAAGTACGAGATTACATAAAACAAAGACACTAAACTACGGCGAATCCATGAGATGAGGGATCTTGAAACCTACACCATAAATATCAAGATTAGATGGTCTGGCTGACTCTCTCACTTCATCAAATAGCTCTGCTGCAAGTTTAACACGTATGGCATTTATGTTTTCATCGCAAAGCCCATTGAATGATTTCCCAAGAGCCAAACACTCGATGTATTTGAGTGTGTAGATAGCACAATCGCCGGGATCTTTATTCAAAAGTACCTTCTTTGTAATTGCACATCCAACCTTGCATTACTCTTCTTACGTATGTCGTCAGGTACAAAAGCACTCATCATGACAGGGATCATCAACTGCAAAAACGTACATTGTTTCACCATTTCAAGATTAGTGGTCAAGTGTGGGATGCTATCGTAGATGTTAATCCTCCTCATAGGCAAGTCAATATCAAGAGCAACCCAATGATCCCCATTGATAAAGAGGCAAGCATAAAGATGATCAACATCGATGAACCACTTCTTGTAAGTAGCTGATTTTGAAGCTGTCCCGTTGAGGTGTTCCACAAAATAATCCCTGAACTTAAGCTCCTACGTCCTCCTGAAAAGTGCTCGTAATCTCTAGCCAACTCCCTCATCATGTCTTGATCCAAAAAAGTTATTTGTTGATTTGGGTACGCTGAAGGCTCACACATCAACCTTTTGCGGAACATAGCCATCGCAGCACCCATATGCTACATTAATATGAAAACCGATTAGAATCAATAAAAACCTGAAACGATTAAACTGAAAATGTTAAGAGATTTTCATAATCTTAGATCACTTACATAATCTTTCAACCATCCATATTTTTCGTATGGCCACTCTGCTCTTGGAGTGATAATTTGCCTATAGAATCTCATATCTCCATTAGTAGTGTTAAGAAAGTCTTCCCTGAAAATTAAAACATAGAGTGATTACAATTACAAAGTTACATTATGATATTGGAAGATAAATTAATTGTCTAGTCTTACTCGTCATCTGTCTCTAGGAAATCAAACAGTTGATGAATTTTCTCGTCAGAAACATGCATCATGTGATCAGGTATCGAGGAAGAAGGTTCTCCATCCATAATGATGCGCTTCACTGTAGAGTTACCAAGAAACAGGTACTTTTGAGAACCAGCCAACTGTGGCACTCTTTTTCCCACAGTAACACCCTCATCTAGATCCTTTAACTTCTCTACCATTGCTGTCAATGTTGCGTCAAGTGTCTTATTAGCTTTTAGTAGTCCAGGATCCGAGAATGTGTCTTCAGAACTTGAAACCATTTTCAGAGCTTCTTCTTCAACTTGGGCAGTGATATCTACAACATCGTCTTCTTGGGTAGTAGATATCTTCTTCATCTTATTACCAGCCGTTGTAGCACATGTCTTTGCAGCCTTAGAACTCTTCTTTCTTAACAGGTTCTTAGCAGCTTTTTCTTTCACTGCAGCTTTCACCGGAGGCTTTGAGACTCCTCTATTGGCAGCCTTTGTAGCTTCTTCTTCCAGTGGAGCCTTTTCATACTTTTTCCTCTCAGCCTTTGAACCATCTTTCTTTTCAATTAAGATAAGATCTCCAGATGTTTCACCTTCTTTCTTTACTTTCTTCTACACGGTATAAGTTTTCTTCACCACTCTTTGAACAGGCAAACCATCCACAGAATATGGCTTCTCCTCTACTTTCCAAGACTACAAAAAATAATAAACGTTATCAAAACAATATTTTCATTCAGCATTTTGCTTAACAAGATTAACAACTTTAAAACTCACCAAACTATAACTTGCAGGGGATTTACTCGATGGAATTGGCATCATCAGTAGGTATTGAAGCTGGTTTTGTATGTTTCAGTTCCTTCAAATCAGTCTCGACTGCTACAATCCGTGAGTCAAATGTATTCTCTAACTCATCAATCCTACTATTCAGATTCTTACCCATGTCTACAATACTCCCATTCAGTTTTTCCATCATCATAAAAATACCCGAGAAGCTTTTCTTGTCATCCTTATCAACCTACAACCAGTTAAATATTCAGATTTTTAAAAAAGTTTAAGCACAATAAATACTTACTAGAAAACAGAGTTAATCATGAATAGGCATGAAAACATAACCTGTATATCTTCAGAGACTATCTTCTCGTCTTCATTTTGAATCTTGACTCTTTCTTCACCAGAAAATTCTGCCTTATTGATCTTTTTCCCCTTCCGTGCAGATACTACCTTCTTCATCAAAAGTAGCTTTTACTTTCCATTTCTTCTTAGACAAGCAAAAGCTGGCACACGTTTCAAAGCATCTAAAAGCCAATCGATTAG